GGCTGGGGCAGACCACTCTCTGAAACCCAATGAGGAGGACACTAGGCTGGAAGGTCTACTTCAGCATAATACAGCTTCCAAGTGGCCTCCTTTGTCCTTTAGCTGGACACCCTTAATTGTCTTCCCAAGACAGTGATCTTGCCTATCACCTGCTTAACAAAAATTTGATAGAAGAGCAAGATCTCTCTGTCTATGTGAAATTCAATAGCATCTATTCTGCGGACAAGTTTTTGAACCTTCCAACCTAAAGAACATCAGAACCCAGCAGTTCAGCTCGCAAGAATGACAGGAGATAGAAAGTCCTATCAAAACTGAGAAGCTGCAAGACGTAAGGATCATCTTGTCTAATTCTCTGCCATGTATGGGAAAACCATCCCTTGGAGATGGCTGTGAAGCCTCTTCTTAAAACCCTGAGGTTTGAGAATGGAGAATCTACAACCATGGTAGGTAGACTATTCCACTGTGGTGTGAATCTTATAGTCAGGAACTTTCTTCCTTATATTTAAATGAAATCTAGATAGCTGCAACTTAATACCCATTGTCGAAGGCTTTCACGGCCGGCATACGATGGCTGGTGTGGGTCTTCCGGGCTGTATGGCCGTGGTCTTGAAGTCTTGTTTCCTAACGTTTCGCCAGCACCTGTGACCGGCATCTTCAGAGTGCAGGAGCACAGACAGGACTGTGCACTGTCTGTGCTCCTGCACTCTGAAGATGCCGGTCACAGGTGCTGGCGAAACATTAGGAAACAAGACTTCAAGTCCTGTCTGTGCTCCTGCACTCTGAAGATGCCGGTCACAGGTGCTGGCGAAACATTAGGAAACAAGACTTCAAGTCCTGTCTGTGCTCCTGCACTCTGAAGATGCCGGTCACAGGTGCTGGCGAAACATTAGGAAACAAGACTTCAAGACCACGGCCATACAGCCCGGAAGACCCACACCAGCCATTAATACCCATTACTTCTGGTTCTCCTATGTTTCATGCAATACCATGTGAAAGGAATAATTTTGTATGTATTCAAATTTAGCTGATAGATTGATTTAAGATTTTTTTTTTACTGAGGTTCCAAACTTTGTGTTAGAAAAATGCTTTTATTAGGCCAGCTCAAGGTCTATAATAATGGATAATTAAATTATGTTAAATTAAAGGAGAAGGCATTGTTAATAATTTCTAATAAACTATTTTGCTCATGGTCAATATGGCTCTTTGGATTTTCTATTCATGCTATGGTCTTTTAAGAAACGAAGACTGGAAAAACAAATGTTTTCTCAATTGTGATAACCAACAGCCTTGGTACAACTGAACTGAATTGATAAATAAATTAAATTCAATACATTCAATAAATAAATAAATTGAATTGAATTAATAAATAAATAAATACCAGCCTTTGTACTTGGATCTCTTACATTAAACTTAATTTAGATCTTTTCCAGTTGTGGGATAAAGTGCTTAATTCTAAATAACATAATGCGTAGCCTACCTTACATTAAATTAACTGAAATTAATGTAATTACCACAAAAACATTAGTGTTTCACCTAAAAATATTTACATTAGGCATTTGATTCTGACTAAGGTCCTGTGATTCTAGTAATGGTTACACATGTTTTTATACGCTACTCCAGAGAGAAACGTATGAGATAATGTTAGAGAGAGCAGTGGGAAGGAGGAAATTCTGATTTGTAAAAGTCAAAAGATAGGAGCACATTCCAAGAATCTTCTCCTCTCTCAAGAACATTTTTGAAGTCTGACATCAAGGGTTTAACAAATTTCTGAATCTAGTAGACTTTTTTTTTCTTTCAAAGACACTAAGCGGTCTCCGCAGGCAGGGGAGCTGTAGAAACAAATTCAAATGCCGATGAGTAATTGTGAGAGAAAATGCTACTATACTTTCCATCCAAAGACTTGCGTGCTTGAAAATCTCTCTTGCTCAGCAGAATATTTGGTGTTGCAACGGGAGGACACCATGAGCCATTGGCAAGGAACACTAATCAATGAGCACTGATTTAATTTGGTGGGAGGAAGAAACAACAACAAAGATTTATTCTGAAGTTCCGGAGATTATTTTAAAAAACCACAGACTTATTCCAGCATTGAAGCATTCAAGAATGTTATTCAGACACTTCAGCTTCTTTGTATAAGGCTTCCCATGTCACGTTTACATACTTCAAGAGCAATGACTTCCAGACATTCCAATCCCCAAAAGTATCCTTGAGACAAATTTCCCCCCCTCAGAAAATACCAAGAGGATAAATCATGGATATTAGTTCCATCAGGCTATACATTGAACAAAAACAAGAAAAAACCACAGCACCATTTAGAGCACTGCACTTAATTGGAGGGTTAAGTTCTAAAGCTGGCTTTGCACCCCAGCAACTCAGGTGGGGAAGCAGCAAGCTAGCTGGCTTGTTTGATGAGCTTTTTTGATACAGAGGAGGAGGATATGGCTTAGCAAGCTTTTTGGTTGGGTTAGAATTGGAGAGGGGCAAGGCACAGGGCCTCCAGAAGCTCTTGCTTTTCTTCCTGGCATCTCATAAACTGCATGGAAAGCCATGGAGGAGCAAGAACAGGAGGAGACCAGCTATGCAAAGAAAGTGGGGTGTCAGCTCTATCAGTCAGGCTAATCACACGTGACTGCACTCACACTGAGGTTTAGGAAAAGAGAAGATAGTTGGTGCCTCATGGTATCCCTTTTCCGGAAAGAACTTTTCTCAGGCAAAATGCCCAATAAGCGAGTTTAGGTTAGTCTCCTAAAGCAAGGAGAAATTGGATTAAGCTCTGAGGAACTGCAGTGAGAAGAAGACACCGGCAGATAGACAGACAGACAGACAGATGAAATAGAAGATAAATCTGAAAGAACAGAAATACCACGTGAAAGTTTAGAAATTCCAAACTAGCTTGTGCTAACCATAGTTTAATACAACTTTCTCAAACTAGCTTCTTCCAGTGTTAGGACTGCAACTCCCAGAATTCTCTGCCTGAATGACTACTGGCTAGGAGCTGTGGGAGCAGTGGTCCCAGTGAAGTTTTGAATATACCTGTGATTTTAAGCCTCCCAGAACTGAGGTCAGAATCTGGTGCTTTTGGGCATCCAAGGCCCTGTTCCAGCAGATCCCTCCAACCTTGAGAGATCTGTGTTCTATTCTTCATTACAGTGACATTTCCCCCTGCCAACTTCAAGTATGTGGGTTAGGACTAGAAGGGTAAAGGCTTTCTCTCTTCTTCTGGGTGGTGGGGTGGGGGTAGACCTGGGCCCAGAGGAACAATGAATGAGAAAGTGGAAAAAAGAAGATGTACAACTGAAGGCATCTTGCTCAAAATATGCACCTTTAAGGTAACCACATGTGGATTTGAGTAAAACACAAACCAGCCTCTTTTACACTCTTCCTCAACACACCCACACTCACACCCAAACACACGCATGCACACATAATCAAGGCAAACACTTTATGACCTGGTTTCCAACCTGGGACCCTTCATCTGAACTGCAGAGAACCAGGTTCAAGATAATGGCGTGATGCCATTAAAAAACAGTGCCAGAAAACAACAGGGATTGTAAGGGCAATTTCCATTCTTTTTTAAACCTTCAGACAGGGTGTCATATTATTATTAATTCAAAAGTACTTTATGGCTTAGTTTAAGAGCACACCCAGCTGCTCCCAGGTCAAAAACATTTATAGATGTATACATTCCACTTTTTAAAAAGTAGGCCATTGTTTCATTTAACAACAGGACAGCAGAGAACCCAAGTTCAGAGATATTTTAAAACAATAATTGCATTCATGTTATCTACAGCCCTGCTCTATTTCCTGCCTAGAAGAGCAATAAATTCAAGCCTGAATCACTTCCTAGCACAGATGGATATTCTCGTTAGGGAGGCAGAGGAAAAAAAATATATACGTGAACATTCAAACCATGAAAAGTGAGCAAGTTTTGCTAATGAAACAGCACGTTACTAATACATTCCCTTCTCTGCACACACAGTCTTTTGCTGAGCGCAGTTCCTTTGACACTTCCCACCATATTCTACAGTCTACCAGCAGGTCACTTTTAACACTTTTTTTGCATTTTAGCCATACGATCCTGCGTAAGTCTAACTATCCATTTATGGATTCAATGAAGCCGACGAACCACGTGGCTAAGCCAATTTAGTGGCAGCACCCGGAACAGGCATCATGTAGAACTGAACACTGGAAAACAGGAAATCCCGCTGAAATTACAGTACAGTAGTAGCCTTTGGACTGACTTCATTGCTCTGAAGTCTCTCTGCCATTACTTGTTATTGACCGAAATCAGGACAAAGCCACCTTTGGGTGGCCAAGTGCTACCCTTCACTTTTTTTTTTAAACACCGCAGACTGCACTAGGTAAAAGCATATACTTGCGTCCACCGAGCAAGGACCTTCTGATTCCCCTGCCCCCCTTGCCCCTTCAAGCTTTGGGGGAAAGGTTTAAGATTTTTTTAAAGTGACATCTAAGCCAGGGTTTAGTTTTCTCTGGGTTTTCTGCAGTTCCAGTTTTCAGCCACTGGGATAGAAACACGGGACGTGACCTACAGCCTTAGCCCTCAAGCTCACTGATTTATTTATTAATCCAATTTATAAGGTCAGCCATCCATCCACGAAACTGGGTGGCAAACAAAATAAAAACAGAGAATTGCATTCAAACAAAAGGCCAACTAAAACCACATCAAAGCTCAACAAAAACACAAAACCGCCAGACATACACCCATGCCAGAGCTCCCGTGCTAATATCCCAAACCTGTGGCCCCATAGCCTGGTTTTCATAGTTGGTGACCTTGAGTTATACCGAATTGCTCTATGATTGTGCCGTTTTTTTTAAAAAATGTGAATTACTTTTAAAATGAAGGTGAAGGGAGCAACATTTTCTGGATGGAGCGACAGCCTTTGCTCATCCTGGGCTCAGCACCGTCTCTTGTTGCCTAAAGTAAGGCTTGAGAGGAGCTGTTCTCAACCATCAAGTGATAATAGAGCTGCTGTACTCACCCAATTAAGGAGACCATCTGTTCCACTATGTGTCTGCTGAAGGTGATTATCACAAAAAGTTTCTGGAGGAACAACAACAAAGCACACACAACGGTGTGAGTCAGACAAATGCTCAGAGGGGAAAATGAAACAATACTGGATGACTCTCCTGTTCTTTGATTACTCTTGGCCTGGTGTCTCTTTTCCAAGTTCATGTAATTACAGCACCTTTCCTCAAATTTCCCCCCTGACTCACTCTTTTTGTGATATCCTTTTCCTAAACCTTAATCACAGTTGCCCCATTCTTTGCAACTGCCATTGAGGGGGAGAAAGGAAGGAGGTGGACTCTGCTCCAACATTATCTTGGCCTTTGGGTGGTCCTTCAAAGCTCACCTAGCAGCAGTCATTCCACCCGGTTGGTTGGTTGGTTCTCTCTCTCTCTCTCCTCTCCTCTCCTCTCCTCTCAAAGTATGGCTTCAACATTCTGCAGAAGCAGAGTTTCATGCCTGGCATCCCCAAAGGATGTTGTTGGACTCTATTTTGCCCACAAACCATTTGTTTGGTGCCTGCCATGTTCCTTCTCCCAATTACATTTGGGGAAAAATGGAATACCTTCTGTTTCTCCTAATGTCTTTTCCTAATGTTTCCTAAGGGTGGAGCTTAAAACCAAAAACCAAACTAAGCCAAAACAGGAGGATGTCACAAATCCAAAACAGTTAAAGGATTGCTCAGCAAACTTGCCCACTCTTTGAATTTATTTGCTGCATCTGTACTAGGAGGGCAGACAGAGGGAATGGAGACGGGACCTTTTCTGTGGTGGCCCCCCGATATGAAACTTCTATCAAAAAGAACTTCATTTTCTGCTCATTTTCTTACATTTTAATTGTTGCATCAAGTAAGCTTGAGCAATGAGTGGTGTCTTAATTTAGCTTAATCTAATTTCACAGCTATTTTTTTTTCTTTTGTTACTTTGATTTTACATTAAAGCTGTTACTGTATAGTCATTCTTAACATTCTTCTTAATCTTTCTTTTTCTAATTTTTGAATTTAATTTCCTTCCCCAAATAGTATGATGCTTTGGCAAATCTTGTCTTTTTCTCCAAGTTTGCCTCTGCTTGGGAGGTGAACTATTTCAGTTGACACAAATATCTCTGTCTAGTAAATTGAAATAAAAATTGAAATAGCACTCCTCCAATACCAGTGGCCCCCAATTTGGTCCCCTCCAAATATGGTAGGCTATAACTTCCGAAATCCCCAACTAGCATAGTCCGATGATTGTTAGGAGTTCTGAATACTGCAGTCTGACACATCTGGAGGGCACGGGTTGGAGAAGGGTGAGGTATATATAGCATTCCTCGAGGATAAGCAGACAGAAATGTTCTGCTCTGTTGAGATAACTCTTGGAAGACAAGCGGTTCCATAGATGTTGTTGTTTTAAACTGTCATTTATAGTGATCTACACCACTTGCGGTACAGCAGGGGACAGTTCCCAGACTTTTCAACATTGGTTAAATCTTGTATTTGTCATATAAATGTAAGCCTTTCTCCCCCCTTTTCAGCCAATCTGGAACTGTGTGTCTCTTTATTCAAGAACACTGTGGTACGGCATCCCGAATGCTTACACTCTGTATCTTTGTATGTGTGCGAGTTTGCTAGCCTGGAGGGGGATTTTAGGGAATTCAGCTGCTGTGGAGACCGAAAGTCAAATTCCTCACTCCTCGTGCTGAACAGAAAGCCTCCACACTTGTCCCAATGGCCTATTTTACATCAGAACCCCCTGGCTTTTTAATGTGTGCCCTAAAAGCAAGTCCAGAATGGATGGTGGGGTCATTTCCTGAAAGTGCACTATGGCCCCCACCTCAATAGAATACTGTACAGCAGATTTGCAAAGGAATAAATCTATATATTCATTCAGTCCCTTCCCTTCATATAACGTGCGTACGTGCACATACTTCAATAGATCATTTCTTCCCCCCCCATTTGTGGGAGAAGCAAATATAAACAACTAAACGTAGAGAAGTGGGAAGTATTCTAAAAGAGCATTCATACTGCACTGCATACTGCAACCATCTACTGCCAATCTGGCTTGTTCCCCAGAGGTTCTGGCTGGAAATTACAGGTAGTCCTCATTTAGTGACCACAATTGGAACCAGCAACTTGGTTGCTAAGCGAAGTGGTTGCTAAGTGAAACTACAACTGTGCTTATGATCTTACTTCAGCTTTCCTTTGCGTTACAGATCTGTGAAGGTCGTAAATGCGAGGACTGGGCGCAAAGTTACTTTTTCATCACCATCGTAACTGCAAATGGTCACTAAACAAGGCAGTCACTAAATGAGGACTACCTGTAATATTTTAAGACACACAGCTGGCAACAGTCTCTTCCTAGATTACCTTGCACCCTGGAAACTATGCAACTGGGCTCCAACTTTTGCTCAGGTTGGAACCCCCTGCTCCCAGGCTAAGAGTCTGGGATCTGGGTTATATCAATTGTCAGGGGCAAGGACAGCCTTTCTGCTCTCCTTGCACTTTTCTATCTTGTTTATAGCACTCAAACCATGTGCTTTCAGCCCAGGATGCAAATTTAATTCTTCAGGCTAAATAAAAATGACAGCAATTTAAAAAAAAAAAAAAAAAATTAAAAAAAAAAAAAAAAAATTAAAAAAAAAAAAAAAAAATTAAAAAAAAAAAAAAAAAATTAAAAAAAAAAAAAAAAAATTAAAAAAAAAAAAAAAAAATTAAAAAAAAAAAAAAAAAATTAAAAAAAAAAAAAAAAAATTAAAAAAAAAAAAAAAAAATTAAAAAAAAAAAAAAAAAATTAAAAAAAAAAAAAAAAAATTAAAAAAAAAAAAAAAAAATTAAAAAAAAAAAAAAAAAAGTTGCAATGTTTATTTGATTACTTACAGAAAAAAACTGCTGTCCTAAAATCGTGTCACAACTGACTAAGTAGCACAGAAAAAAAAAAAATTATAAATATTTGATAAACTCTGCAGACAGAAGGCATCGTCTTAGAAGATGCTCTCTCTTCAATAAGAGAAGGAGGGCTGAATGCCTCTTCCAAGATTAAAACTGCTATGAGCCATGTGTACAGAATCTAAAAATAAACATTTCTATTTTCTTACAGACCCATTTTTCCCCCTTCCTGCAACCTCCTGTGGGTTAAACAAATTCTTCAAGCAAGCAAAGCTTGGACAATAAATGGCTGAGATTTCTTTATAGGCTGTCTACGCCAAAGTTAGCTCTCCTAAATCCAGCAGAATGTTCCTCAGGTAATGTATACAGGATGGGTCTCTTTTGCTGCGAAGGAGCTGGGTATGTTTAGTCTGCAGAAGAGATGATTAAGAGGTAATACGGCAATATAATAGCCAGCTATGAATATCTGAAAGACTTTTGCAGAAATGGAAGGACTCCAACCAAAATCCGAAGAAACGAGATTTCAGCTCAGGTTTTGGGAAGAACCCGTGACAGTGTAAAAAGTCCGCTGGTGGAATAACTGCTTTGGAAGTTACTCATTTGGGCTGAGATTTTTTTAGTAGAGGAAAGCAGTGGCGATGGACTTCCTCGGTTAATGGGGGTCAGACTAGATGCCCTCTGGGACCACTTCCAACATTTACACTGTAACTTCAGTCAAGCAAAAATCAAGCAGTTGCAGCTACAACGATGGCTGTTCCTGTCTGGCTGTTTGGCACATCTCTTTCAGGAAAGGATCCGTGATCCTCAAAAATGCTTCCTCTACTTTATCTCAACCAATCCTGAAAGAGCCATGTAATTAAGCCCCTAATGAAGTTTCCTTCCATTGCAGGTGGAGGAACAGATTTAAATTAAGGATTTTACATGTTATTAAGCCATGATGCAACTCGGGGCTGGCTACGACGGCACAGACACATTCCAATTGGTGCTTGGTGTTAATACGGCCAGCGCCACCCAAGGAAGCAAGCCATGGAAGCCTCACTTGTACAGTGAGATGGGCGGCATACATAAATTTGAAAATAAATAAGTAAGTAAGTAAGTGTGCTGGGCATGCTTAATAAAAATGTGTGCTGGGCATCCTTAATGGCTGCCTTGAAGATTGCTGGGAAACAGCAATTTCTGGAGAACAAGAGCATTGGATGGGGGCTCAGCATCTCAACCAATCTTGATCAGAAGGCAGAAAGCCCCAAGGTTTTGTGGAACAGATAAATTACCTGGATGTGCATTTTGATTATTGCTTTTCCAATCAGGGTGGCTCCAAAGAAAGTCCAAAAGGGAACGAGGAAGTGTCCGCATGTTATTCCTGCCAAATCGAAGAGAGGATTCGGAATCTAGGAGGGGAAGAAGAAGCAGAATTGCCATGCATTTCCATACACCACTTTCTGTGAACAGTTTCTGTTCGTAAACAGTGACTGAGACAGGCTCAAGAAGCAAGACAGGACCATCGATGGCTAGCGGTTAAGAAGCCCAAGAAGTGGAACCTCCAGGCTTAGTGGCAATCTACTGCAGAATATCATACGCTGCTGGTGAAACAGAAGGTGGATGTTGTCTTAACATGCTTGTGACTTTCTCAGTGGCCACAGTAGCAAGCAAAATACTGGGGTTTGGCCAGCATTTCTCAAAACTGCTTTTTTTTAATGGACTGTTTAAAAACTGCTACCAGGGGGGCTCCACAGTGAACCACTTAATAAACCTTTTTCTTTCTAAAAATCAAGATGCACAGATTACAGATATTCTCATATTTTAAGCAACACTTTTTAACCTTTAGGAGCAGTACTGTTGTCTAAACCAGTGTTTCTCAACCTTAGCAACTTTAAGATATGTGGACTTCAACTCCCAGAA